GTTGCATTTAACCCCCCCATCCCATCCCCCTGTTAATGCTCCTATAGACCTGCCCTTGTAACTGGAGTCACTGGGCCAGCCATACCAATGCTGTGAAGTGTAACTTCAGCTGGATTCCCCTTCGCTGAAGGCTATATGTGAAATTAATTCTGCCACTGGCAATACAACATGAACGATGCTGAATTTGCCTTGTTTTATTTTTGGCACTGCATATTTCACTGTATTTTTAAGATACGTAAACTCCAATTTAGACTTAAAGTTCCAGTTCTATTATAGATATTGTGCTATAAAGAGTATTATAACAATCTAAATATTGTATTGTATCTCTATTGAGGCACATCATTAGCCACTGTTTCCTGCTTTGACCATGCACGAGTCCACTATTCCCCAGGTCACAGTTGGCTTTGTTGCTTTTGATTTGGGACTGGCAATCAAATCAGCGTATAATTGCTCACAAACACATTCATTAGCACTTTTTATGTGCTGTAGCTCCATTCCAGAGATGGGAAGTTCTCAGCTTCTCTTATCGGACAGGTTTGGTAATGTTTGTTCTAGTTTTATGCCAAGACTGATTCATTCATGCAAGGACATGGGGAGCCCTTTCATGTATATTTAGATAAACTGTGAACTGACATCAAAAGAGGATTACACTCATCAGATGACATGCCTCCAGCAATTTTCAGATTAGATTTAAAAGAGAATAAAAGCTCCTTGATGTACGGTGAGTATTTTTTATTTGAAGTTTCTGTGTGCTGCTTTATATGGTTTATCAAGTAAAGAAGAGCGTTTCGATGCTCCTTTTGATGGGATGCAAATATTTTCACACAAAATCCATCCAAAATTTAAGGAATTAAATCATTTAAAAAAAATAAAATAAAAACATATTTCAGATGAATATTTGCATCTCTTTAAAATCCCTATTAAAAAAAAAAAAGTCTAAGTATTTCTGTTGCTCTCCTCAAGGTTGTGTGCAGATTATAGGGCACATATGTGACCAATACTGAGCAAAATCCTCATCATCTGAAGAACGTCTGAATAACAAAGTCAGCCTCTGCACTGGGCACCTCTATTGGTTTCAGGACCATCTCCCAATCTCTGGTGAGGATGAAATCTATTACTCCTCCCTTAGCTGTTTGCCGAAGGCATGACTTTTTGGCACATACCATAATATGGTGTATCTGTCCTGGTGGATTTATCTGCCAAGTTCCTCAGCCAAAGCGCTGTTAAATTTCCACTTTATGCACATCACTGAATTATACTGTATAGCATTATAATTAGTACCGGTGATATTTTTCTCTGTCCGGAGCCTCACACTCTTCCCTCACACCTCCAGGTTGGCGAGGGTCCTACCTCCACTCTGCATGTATTGAATGGGTTTCCTTCTGCAGTCCAAAGACACGCAGTTAAGCTAACTTGCACCTCTGAATGGTCGTAATGTAACTGCATCCCATCCAGGGTGAAACCCAGCCATGTACCCTCTGCTGCCTGGGGTCAGCTCCAGGCCACGACCTGGAGAAAGAGATAGAAGATGGGTGAGATATTTCACTCCATTGACCTTATTTTGTGGAAAATTTTATTGTTTATTTGGGTGCCATCAATGTATACAGTATGTACTTTTCATTGAAACCTTTGGATCTGAAATATACTATACTCTATATACTATACTCTAAATATACTATACTCTATATACTACATACATATAGTATATGCAGCACTTTAAAGAACCATTCAAGTACAAGTACTTAAAATGAACATGGATTAGAAGCCTGAGAATATGCCTTTGATTTAGGTTTTCAATTACAGCAGGGGTGGCCAGTCTTATCCGCAAAGGGCCGGTGTGTATGCGGCTTTTCGCTGCAACGCCCTAATTAGATTACTAATTAGAGGACTGATTGGCTGAAGAGTCCTCACACCTGGGTTTGAACAGCTGACCTACAGGTTATCCCAAAAACCTGCATGCGCACCGGCCCTTTGCGGATAAGATTGGCCACCCCTGAATTACAGTATTAATTAAATTTGCATAAATGAAAAATGTACATTCAGTCTATCTTTAGGGAGGTTGTATTCAGTGGGAATGTAGTAATTTCCATGTCCACATGGGCATTAGGGTGTAGTGGTATGAAATCAGAGAGGCAGGTGTTGTAGAAATGGATTTCCCGTTTTTCACACGATTATCCAGGATGATGGACTGCTGCCGAAGCTTAAAGTCTTCCATGGTTGTTGGGACTCGTTGGGTGATGTCACTTCACTTGGGCACCGTCATTGTCCTGCAGAAGCACAAGCACAAGCGATTGTCAGTCACCATGATTTACTTCTTTTCCATTATCACTGGCTCTTTGGGTTTGAAACTCTACAGTTTTTTTTTTTTTTACAATACTGATAGCCGATTGGCTTTTTTGAAGAGTTCCTTCACATGATGTTAATAAAGTAAAGATTTTCATTTTAAAATGGGTGTTTCTTCTGCGTTCTCCAATCTCTTCCTCAAAGACATTCTATTAAGGCGAGCTGCAAATATCCCTGACAACCTGAACGTATTTGTGTCTCTGCCCTTCTATGTGCCCTGTACTTCTCAGGAAAACGTCATGGTCACTATGACTTGATTAAGTGCGCTAAACGGATTAATCTTTGCACTGAGTAATGTACGATACCAAAAAAAAAAGAAAAACAATGCCTTTCCAGAGACTTGGATCCCTGTTCCCATGTGGTTGTGGTGTTTGATCTCTGGCTGCTGCTGAACATATGTGCTACTTGATTTCATACTCACCTGAACTGCATCACTGGATTTTGGAAGAGAACTGGAACACAGAGTGGAAACCCACACAGCCAGCAGGGAGGGAACATCTGAACTCTTCAGAGCAGAAGCTGGTTTTGGTTTCCTACCACAGTTCAAAAACTTGTGGTGCAGGTGACCAGGCGTCTGTAAATTGCCCGTATTATATGATTGTGTGCGAGTACCTGCTCTGCGATGAACTGGCATTCTGTCCGGGGGTGTCCTGATTTTGTGGGTCAGGCTCCAGGGTCACTGTCAAGGGCGTCATTGTGTTTTGATTTTGGGGGGGTGGCAGGGACAGATCCATTAAGTGCTTGAGTCAAATCCATCTTCTCAAATTTCCCCTAGCCTCCATCCTGAGATTAGTCTCAAGATGGCCTCTGTCTCCCCAGTTGCAAAATCAAAGTTACGTAACTTGGGGTTGGTTTTGACCACTTGTTAAGCCTAGATCCACACATAAAGTCTGTCAGTCACCCTTCTCTTTATCCTTTGAGAAATCTTTCTAAACTGAGGTCCGTGGCTTCAAAATCAGAATTGGAGATGCCAGTCCATGCTTTTATCTCTTCACGTCCAGATTATTGTAATGTTCTGTATTCAGGTCTGAACAAATCTCTTTTCTCGGCTACAGTTAATACAAAACGCTGCTGCTAGGCTTCTAACTCAGTCTGACCAGAGAGCACACATTACTTCCAATTTTTTAATGTCATTTTTGTACAGCACTTTGTGACTTGTGTCTGTGAAAAGTGCTTTATAAATAAATTTTACTTACATTGTCCTGTATGACATCATATATTGTACCTATGTATAAGCTACGTGTCCATTTCAATATTGACTGTATACATTTGTTTGTGTGTGGCAACTCAAAACGTCTGCTTAAGTAACAGCAGCATGGACAGGTGGATGTGGAGTAACAGCACGCAATAAGACCCTGTGCCGTCCCTGTGACTGTTATCTGCAATTCATCCATCTAGCCTTCTTCCTGTGGGGGACCAGGTACCTCTTCCAAACACCATGGGGCACAAGGCAGGGATACATTTTGGATGAGGTGCCAGCTGTTACGAGTAATTTGTTACAGAAATAAATTGAGGTGTAAGTCATAAGGCTGTAACTTATCCCAATCCCAGTGCTGTCAGTGTTGATGCGTGATCTGCTGAAGCTTAATGAATAAGCTGTAGATGGCTTTCAATGGCAAGTCTATCATTTAATATCAAAGTTAACTGCAACTTGAAGTTAAGCATGTTAAATCACCTCTCATGTTGCTCAAAACAGGTACTATTTCTGACCTTTATTTGTGGGGGGTAAGAATGGCTCTTATACTAAGCATGGCTAATTAAATTCTGTAATAGTCCAACTTATCTCCCCATTTTTCCACAGTGCCAGGTTCCGCTGGCCAGTGTAGGCGGAGCAGAGCGAACTCACTGAACTCGAGCTGTTTGGGGTTTAAATATGCTCATGCTGCTAAGTGATAAATAAATGATGATGTCCGGAAACTCCAACACTAAACAGAGGAACTATGTCTGAGAGTTGACATCATGCATGAGTTACGGTTCCACTGAAGCGAGCTTAGCAGAGTGACGGACTTGGTCTCATTCCTTCACGGGACTCGGAGAAGGCGAATCGTGCTGATGACGCTCATTTCAACGCTGTGATGAATAAAGTCCACAGCCAACATCGCCCCTGATGAAATGATAATTGGATAATGACAACAATGAAAGCAGATCCGTGGTCTGAGAGCTGTACCTCTCATTCATACTTAAAAGGAATACTGTTCAACAGCACCCCATGGCCCGTGAAGAGAAAAACTAACACTACACGATCTAATCAAAATGCAAGGAATATTGATAATGAGGTTTGTCTTTAAAATATGATCAGCTTTACTAAATTCTAGTGAATTGTGAACTGGATTACTTTTACGCTGCTCTGAAAATTAGTACAAATCCAACAATCACTTTGTACCTTGAAAAAAACAAGATGTTTTAGCATAACCAAGGAAACAAATTAAAAGTCTTGAATACATATTATACAGAGCCTAACAAATCAGAACATATTAATGGCTCCAAACAATTCCATAGCTCTTTGGTACGGTGGTTTTCAGAACCTTGTTCAGCTACTACACGCATTAAAAAACACTTTCCGATTATAAATACAGGAAATGCACCACTGCAGCACCGGACAGCAGAACGTGTAACGAAATTATTTGCTGGTGGATATTTATCAAACGCTGACCAAATAAAGATTTCCAGTATATTTATTTAGTTAGTGTGGATTGGTTCACAAACTGTAAAAAAATCAACATATCAGAATCTGCAGTGAGGAGACACTTCATAGTTTAGAATGCAAGAATAAAAAAATAGTCACAAAATCTTGCTTTTAAACATTTCTGTACAAACAAGAACAGCCCACTCCTATATAAATACCGGCAAATTGCTGAATATAAAACTTTTTTTTTTTTTTAAGACTATGAAGGGGCAACCAGTCGGATACTTAAATAAAAATGGAAAAAAATGTATCAAAAAAGCTTATAGAGCAATTTAACCTCCAATATGCAGAGTTTTGTTTAAAATTTATTGAATGTAGAGGCACAATACTCCAAAAGAAAAAAAAAATCTATAACAAACATTTCAGTAAGCTTCAATTACCAAAGAAGCTAAAATAAACACATAGATGGGCTGATAAAACGCAGTACGGGTGTTACCGTAATACTGGGAATACGAGTAACCTGGAGTATTCGTCTACTTGGGAGTATGAGTTTAGCTGGAAGGTATCATGCATGACTGTTTCCATGACCCGCAACACATGGGAGATATGGTATGAGAGGTGCTCAAAGTGAATGGGTGTGGATGTAGCACAGTAGGATTAAGGTGCATTCCCTTTACATGCCGATAAGCAGGGCAGAAACTCGAGCAACGCTTCCCCACGCCTGCTACACTGGCCTTTGAACATGGTGATGTGAAGTCGTGAAGAACATGTTTGATGCCACGTGTGTGCACTCTCACCTGCACGTACCTTCCCTGAAATAACTGAAGGGAAAAACACAGGGGCCCAAAAATGGTTTACAGCTGAAAATAAATACATACAATTTAGTCACTAGTTGTATACACATAGTATATACAGAACAAAAGGTATTTAACCGATAAAACCAAAATGTTGCCTGTATATGTTCAAACATTTTAACGTACGATCTTATATGTTTATTGGATACCTGTGTTAATATGGAAAATGTACTTCTAAAAAAAATGGAACTAACTAGTTATTACTTTAAAAGTGCAAACACAGCGCCTGGGAGGAGGCAAGGCAGACTTAGAGCCTATTCTGGAAAGACCCGCCAGGCCATGAAATGGGTGCATGCTCTCTGCATCAGGCCATCTAACGTCAAAGTGCCTTCACAAACGTGAACACGTCTCTCGCTGCGGACTTCAACAGTATCTCCGCAAACAGCTTCCCCCAAAAATGAAACATACCACAAGCTTGGACATCCTTAAAATTAAAATTCAGTTCGGTGGAGACATCGTCACTAGGCCACAGCTGATGGGGGGAGGGGAGGGGGGGGGGACTCACCGCAAATTTCAGGGGCGTCTATGAGTCACACATTTAAGTCACAGGTTTAGCCTGGAGCTACACTGGGAGTAAGCAGACCTAGAACTCCTCACTTTGCAGAATGCACACACCTAGAAAGGACAAAGCTCCATTTTGTTTCCGTTAATTTTACGCACGTATTTTGATCTATATATGCATGGAAAAAATAAAAACAAACTATGTAATTGTTTTTATGCAGTTATGCGGTGTTAAAAATTCATTTGCAAAACAAAAAATCTCTGTAAATAAATATTTAATGACAGTTTTGGCAGACATTAGATTTTCGTATCTACTACTAGAAAAGTCAGTCTTCTGCAACAGTATAATTGTTTAACTCTATAAATATAATTTATATAGTTTTTTTTCTCCTCTTAGAACTTATTTGCAGACAAACTGGTCCACCGTTTTTGTGCATCTCCTGCATTTGACATAGCAGCACCAGTGAAACTTGCAGTGGCATCTCTCCACCACCTGCGCCTTGTACTGGTCGTAGCCTCGGCCGCAACACATGAGCTCGCAGCCATCCATGCCTTCAGAGGTCTTGTTGCAGAGCCTCCCCGTGGTCCCCAGCGAGCCGGTGCTCTCGTTGCTTACGCAGTAGTCCGGGCTCTGGTCGATGTAGATCAGGTCGTGGTTGGTGGGCGCGTTGAACTTGCTGTTCACCTGGACCAGCTTCCCCCGTGGGTTGAGCTTCATGGACGCGGCGCTGTCGTACTTCTCCTTGAGCGCGTCGCCCACCTTCCGGAAGTCGGCCAGCTGCAGCCAGCACGTCTTGAGGCTGCAGGAGCCCGACACGCCGTGGCACTTGCAGGAGACGTGGGCCAAATCCGATACGGTCTGCAAAGCGGGCAGGCGAAGGTGGCGTGAAACACAATCGCTAGCTGTCGGACTCTGACGGCCTTTTGCGAAACAGCACCGGCATTCCTCTCTCTCGACATTCTGCGCGATGGGCTTTTTTCCCCTGAATATTACATCATAATCGAATCTCACACAGGCATAGCCTCCGGGATGCCCCCACATCATTAAAATGGCAATAAAGGGAAGGAATTCAAGCAATTGTAAAGGTCTCTTATGAAATTATTTCAATTTGTTCAAGAACACACAAAAGAATTCAAGATTTTATCTTAGAAAGCCTTCAGGAAAAAATGGAAAACTTTCAAAGAAAATGAGTCAGGACCTGTTACCCAGATGAAAACCGATAGGGTGAAAATCAGATCAGCCTGTATTTTCTTAGTTACATCTAAGAGAAGCGCACACTGGTGTCAAATGCACCCAGCAAGCAGGGGGATGAAAGCAGACAGCACGGACCTACCCTCCTTCCGGCCTCGTTGTTGTGCAGGTTCATAAACACCCGCGCACTCTCGTAAGAGCCCTTCTGATAGGTCTTCTCGCGCTCCCGGGCGTCCACAAACTCCTTGGAGAACCGATAGCCATAGTTGAGGTTGTCTCCGCAGCCTCCCCACAGCCAGTCCCTGGGGAGATCCTTGGGCCTGGCCGCCCTGCTGCAGCCGCACGACGAGAGGTCCCCCTCCCTGCAGGCCCGGCTCACCGCGTTCACGACGCCGGCCGCGCTGATGGCGTACGTGAAGGCCGTCTCGCGGCTACCTGCCGGGACACAGGCGCACCTGCCGTCAGACAGGGCGGATCGAAGCCACTTTGCATGTTAACCAAATTAAAGAAATTAAGGGGGGGGGGGGGGGGCTGCAAACTGAGAAAATAGCTACACTGTGCGGGTGGTGATATTAAATTCACCCAGCCCAAATCGAGCAGACGTGCACATTTCAGCAGCTCTTCAGCAGATCTGTCCAACTGTACCCCCCCCCCCCACATCACTCAAAGCCAAACATCACATGGGCTAATCAGGGCCCTAATACTGCAGCGGAGGGGGTGCTGAAAGGCCGCGGGATGAGGACAGCCCCCATACAGCTCGAAGAAGGCTGCCTCTGTGGGGGAAAGAGGCAGCAGGGGCTCGGGACGGACGGCGGCACCATGCCCACGCGAAGACAAAGAAACGCTGGGTGACCCGCATTTCCATCTCAGAACTGAAAGGCAACAGCGCAACTAAATAATACCGACATGGAAACGCTCACATACGGCGGGTCACCCAGAGGAGCGACATTCTCACTTCATACAACTTTGAATGCATCGCAAACAAATTATCCAGCGGAGCTATGGCTGGACAAGCAGTCCTCAGATCATCGGTCATCTGCCCCAGACACCGAACTGCATTCTTGCTGAATGGAGGTGCCCCTTGGTGTAACGCATTCCCTGCGTGCATCCTGTGAGTTATGCCAACGTAAATGAGGGGGTTTCCAGCTATATTAAACCTATACTTTCCATTAAAACACTTAACGCAACCAGATCAGCATAATTTATCCCCACTGCTAATAATTAGATTTCCCATTTTTTAAAATCCAACTGAACTGAATTGACCATCTCTTGTATAATCAGGGGGTGGTTTTCTAAAGAGTCCAGTCTATGTAGATACATCTACGGATTCAAAACGACTTTCACTTGCAACGTCGTAAAAATGCTAAGTTTTACTCGGCCCCAAATAGCCGTTGCAGGAAAAATATACACTGTGAAAAGCAGTGGACATCTGTTTAAAGTGAAAAACCAAAGAAACCAAACAGAAAAGTGGTGCTACAACGCAGAAGTCAGGGCGTGTCGGACAGCCCACGGAAAGACTCAGGACAGGGGAGCGGCCGGCCTGGAGGAACACGGTAAAGCACAGCGGAGACAATCTCACACGCCACTCACATACGATGAGGGTACAGATGATGAAAACTACAGGGGTTCACTCTGCAGTCTGCTCATATTTCATTTCCCCAAACCCTGAGTCGCGACGGTACAAAGGACAAATGGAAGAAAAGCCAACATAAATGGTGGTTTGCTTGAACTGCCCTCATGCTACAAGGCGCGCCAGTCTGGTGTTTCCATAAAACTGTTGGATTTAATACTAAACCGCTATTAGATTATGTGCTGTAGAAACATACTGCAAAGCCACCTCTTCAGTACAATATAACTGGACTCTGACCAACAATAAAACAGGAACTTAAGAGGCGTTTTTATACGCACCTACGAAGTGCGAATGATAACTCGTGAATCGAGACATGCCGCGATTTCCTGCATTAGGGCCTTCTCTGCGTAAACTTTAAATATAAAGCGGGCGTAAAATCGAGGAAAAGTAAATTACTCATTATTCTCAGTGTCAACTGGAAGCCAATTTGAGGGAACCAACATCTGATTTGTCCCCAAACCTCATAAAAAGTATTTCTTGACCACAGCTGCTGCGGATGAACAGCTCCATGTGAAGCTCTATGCAGTAACTATACCAGCGGCCTAGAATGAGAAAGCCAGGGCTGCCAGAAGCGACCACACTTGGGTCTCAGTCGATAAGCCTGGCTAAATGCTGTAGCACATGGCGACCTTCTGATAATGCTCGTTTCCTCTCTCTCCCCCCACCTGATTAGGGGCTCCCTCAGCCAGGTGGATGCTGCAGGTGCTGGGGACGCCTTACCGATCTGCATGACCCTGCCAAAGACTGAGGAGTTGTCCACTGTGCTGCAGTTCCACCGCCGATGCCTGAACTGGTACTGGCACTCTTTGATGCCGGTCTTGGCCCCCTCGCCGATGTACTGCATGTGGTCCTGGTACAGCTGGCACAACTTCTTCTGGCCCTGCGAGAGGCCGACCAGCTGGCCGCACAGCGGCTGAGCCCCTATGATGTAAGCCTCTGGAATCAGCAGAGGATTCATGGCTAGGGACCTGTAAAGTGAAATATTGCAGAAAATCACAATTAGTCTCAAACATAATAAAATGTGCATGAAAAACCCCCAATTGGTACATTTCTTGCTGTATATCATTAATATCTGAACCACACAGGGGATCTCTGAGGTCAGGCACATACATAAAGCAGCAGCACGTTTGTGTGTCATAAAGGATAATTAAATGACTGTACTAACAGATCATCAAATGCGGCGCACTTGAAAACACCTATAAATTCACCTATAAATACCTGTAACAGCCACAGTATTCTACTACGCAAAATGTAGGGAGAGCCTAGCATAAGAGCTGCGCCTGCGACGCCCACACAAATGCACACACACAAATGCTTTGAACAACCAAGGTTAAGGGACAAACTTGCAACTCAGTCGCTGAATGTATTTTGCGTACGGGTGTGTCTGCGTGTGCGTATATACATATTTACATGCCTTTGTATTTTGAAATCTTTCAAAATGAAAGCAAGATCTTTTACACACACTACAAGACATTACGTGTCTGAATATATTTTGAAATTGAGTAAAACCACAGCATTCTTAAATAATATTCATAATTTTGGTTTGGCACACTATATTAAAGGGGGGGGGGGAAATTGACCTAAAAGGTTTCCTGCTAAAGTCAGCGTATTGTATTTTCATATAATTTTGTATACAGTGCAGCATAAGAAAGCAGCCCAGTGAAATGTATACACTGCGAGAGGTTACCTACCAATTTAACCAGCACTGGGACTTTAAACATATGTAGTACACATGGTCAAATCATATCATATTTCTAGTCAGACAGCTCAACCGTGCCCCCTAAACATCACTGAAGCAGAACACGTTTGAAGAGACAGACACCGGCCAGAAACAGAGAGAGTCATACTTACCACCAAGAGCTAGCCTCCACGACAGCCTGCATAAAGAAAGCCAAAAAGACGACAGCGAGCGCATGATGTCTAGAATCCATTACACTGGAGAATGCAAAGTAGTTCAGCCTCTGTGGCAGCAGCATTCTGAGGGACGTCTGCAAAAAGAGAGGAGAAACGAGTGAGTTTATCAGCACCGCTGACGTATCCGGGACAGACACAAAGGCGGCATCCTGCAGCCCCGCGGAGGATTGACTTGTACGCAACACATGAGACCTTGGAGGTCTGAGGAACTGCAGTCGGTCACGGAGCTGTGATCTGGCAGGAAGACGCTGTGTGAATCACATGTGCATGATGGACAAGCACCCCAGAGAACAACCCAGAACCCAGCCAAAAGGCATTCTTCTTGGACAGCTGAATTATTCAAGGATAGAACATTCTTCCCCTACAATTTTATTCAGTCAGAAGTGGGGGAATCTGCCGTTTCATGCATCTTGAATTAGGAAGAGTGGGGGCAAAATGTGCTAAAATTAGCTGGGGATTTCATTTAAAAATCTTTACAGACACAAGGATGTGTAATTCATATACATGTGCAATAAAATAAACATTTCATAGGTTCCCCCTTTCTTTCATACATGTATATATTTAAAATGTCCAAATATTAACATGACATTATAATTTAATGCTGCAATATACTGTTATAACGGTAAAAAAAAAAAAAAAAAAAAAGCTTTAAAAATAAAAGATTTTAAACCCCATTACCTAGCATCTTAATTGGATTTACATCATTTCGATACTATGGCATTATACTAATGGCACCATTCATCTTTCAAAGTTTCATATCGATTTAATTTTTAATCGATGCTAACATTTCTACATACGAGCGCTGAAATTCCTTCAAACTGTTTATGCAGAAATTTTTCACAGCTGCCAAAATTAGCATTATGCTATTAATTTAATTCTGGAAGAATACGAATTAATTTGTACTACTCCCAAAAAAAGTGTGCTCAGTTTACGCAATTGTGTTAACAAATGCGCAAAAAATCCTGTCTTTATGCGAGCTTTCGTAGTCCACAAAATTATTTAGCATACAACGTAGTGTACTTTATTTTGTTCCCGTATTTTCCAGCTTCAGCAATCATTAATAAGTTTGCAAAAAAATTAATAAAAATTAGTAGGGTATTGCTATATTGCCGCATTTTCATTAAATATACATTTTAAATTTACCCTTTCATTCAGAACTGATGAACAGGAATTATATATTTGCCTAATTAAATTCAAATTAATTTCAGCAAATACGAATAAAACGAATTCGATTATTTCGTTAAATGATAAAGCAAACGTAATTTTGTTGGGCAAAAGCTTACACGCGTGTACATTTCCAGTTAAGTGGTCACGCCTTACATGGCTTGTAACAGATATGTCCCGAAGTATGCACCAAAAAATATTATATTATATACAGGCCTAAGTTATTTCAATACAACGGTGCTTATTATTAGATAATTATTCTTATATCTGGAGAACAGTTTTGTAGAAAACGTATATAATCCATTGCTAACCACTCTTTATACTATTGACGCTTTTCATATTAGCGGTTTAGCCCGAAGGCATGAAAATTACTATATCAAAATATGCAGAAATTTATATTGAAGGAAAACAAAAATCCCCCACAAACCATTTTCTAATTTTTAAGTTTCTACCTAAAAAAAAAAAAAAGAAACAGCGGTAAAATATGCTGTTTTTAATATTTATATACATTTAGGTTAGAAAATAAGGAAATATACATTATTATGCAAGAAAATCTACACTGTTGTCAAGTGTTGGCCTACCGTTTAAGCAGTTGGAAATTTAAAATTACCATAAATAATCCACGTCAAAAATATATTCGCCTTAAAAAAATCATATCCTACAGTGCTTGTAATTCTTAACTGGCCCAATCGCTGAAGCAATAACGAACAATGCCGTGTAGCTTTCAGCCACCTACACCTCACTATAAACTTAAAAACTTTAAATAAATAGTCGTTTTATTGATTCCGCCTTAATATTGAAGGCAGTATACTCACTGATAACGTTTCACTAGAAGGACATGGTTGAAAACGGCACACAGCACTTGAGTAAACTAAGGCGAGCTCTAAGACTTTCTGTAATTGAACAACGCCGAGAATATGACGGGTCATAATTGTTAAGCTGTCATAACAGCAGCGGCGATAAAACAGATCATGCGGCGCATGTATTCCGTCAGACTCCCGCGGACAGACAGCGCGGCGGGGAAATCGCCTGTCACCTTCCAGTGATCCTGACCAGGGAGCTCAGGTGCGCTTTGTGGAAGAAACAACAACGTTTCGGCTGCTCTGCAACTGCAAACATTCGCAATAATAATAATAATAATAATAATAATAATAATAATAATAATAATAGTAATAATAATAATAATAATAATATAATTATAACACACTGTGCTTCATACACAGTGTATATAATAATTTAGTGATAAATGCAATGGATTTTTCTCTAGTTTAAAAAACAAACGTTTAAAAACTGATTTACGCATATCTGTAAAACAAGCCAAAAAAAGGGGTCCGCACATAAAACGCAGATTTTTCCGCTTTGTAATTATCCACACATGTAGTAAAATGCTGTTAACTAAATAGAAATTAAATACCAAAACGATCAGATTTTAAATCCGCACAAGGAAAAGCAGCAAAGTAACGGTAGATTTAACAGTTTGGGCCTATGGAGCAGAATTTAAGGCGTTTTATGCACGCAAGACTGCGATAGCCTGTTCCTGGATTTTGCGTACTACTTGCGTGCAGAGTTTATCAGAAGTACTGCAATGTGCCCTGCGTCGGGTCCCCTGCAAAAATCCAACCGCAAGTCCAAGCGCACAGTAAGGGTTACACATGCCGAAAAAAGGAAACATTAAACACCAGCAGAGGGAGCCATTATCCAAACGGCTTGTCATTAAAATACATAAATAAATATTTACCGACATCCAAATAGAAAGAAATGGACAATTTAATAAATTCAGTGTTAACTCCTCAATAAACTGTTATTTTAACGGTACAGGAAAATACAGGTGATATAATTGCACTCGCAGTAACTGGGACTTAAAATAGCAATACTGTCACCGAGCAATAGAATCTATAAACCATTAGCAAACACAGGAATTCCCCAAAAGCCAAATCACAAATATTGCAGGCTACATAAGACTTAAGGTGCACAACGACGAATACAAATTCTATTAAGGTAATAAAGACAGAGAGACAACTTACCCGTGACAACTATTTCAGTGTATAATCCACGTTTTAAAGAGGATTATCAGAGGTTTAATTCCTATAAAACACCTGGGAGTATAGTTCAGATCTTCTCCTTCTGCCCAAAGAGTTGCAATCCAAAGTGAGTAAAAAGATTAGGCATAGAAAAGCGGCTGATCCTCAGATAGTAGCCGCGATAAATCTTCTGGCTTCAGGTTAGGTGTCGCTAAATTGGCACGAAATGGACTGCCAGTCACTTCTTCCTGCGTAAAGCACAGCTGTGTACGGAGGCTATTTACAATGTCCAAGAGCAATCTAAATAATTACTGCTTCTAACAAACGTGGGCGTGATTGTGCGGAAACGCTTAATGACAAATAAAACATTCACAAGCAACAAAATGCCCTCGGCTGATTTTTTCGGTAATAAAAATGTTAAGTTGCGTTCTTTTGATTTCTTTTCTTATGGTTCCCAGACAGTTCTGCAAACGATATATTATGTCCGGCAAAGATACTGCTCAAAAAACAGCCTGAATAAAGGTTTTTGCTGGGGGAAATGAAGAAAAAAAAACAATTCCAGGATTTTCGACCGCTTAAACCAATGGTTCTACCTGCTGAAACATCCATACGGGTAGCTTCCTTCCAAAAGTGAAGTTGTTTTTTCATCCTCCATTCTGAAAAACACAGCGCTCCTTATTCCTTGATGCTTAATGAATAAGCATAAGCATTCTAGCTCTAAAAGCCAAAGTGCGAATCGTCCAATATCCAATAGTTTTCAAAGTGGGGGAACCGGGAGTGGAAAATCCTTTTTAAAAACACCATAAAACAAGCATGCAATATGGCTTTCTATAGTTTTGCAAGTGAAGACGCGTTTAGTTTCTGAGACGCAAACTCTCTTTGTTTTCCACGACACGGTGAAATTAAATGTATGGACGCACTTCCAGACCTATACTTATCACCTGCCTCCTCGCGTTCCCCCTCTAACTAACAAGATCTCTTACTGATGCACGGCGGAAAACTTCTGCGTCGCGCATGCGCCGAGCGCGTTCTCTCAACTAAATGTTTTAAAGTCGCAAAACTCTTAAAAGCGAGCCGTATAAAATTGCATGAAACTAACTCCATATTTGCTTCCTAAACCTGTCACGCGTTACCTTGGTGACCAGAACTATTCTCGCGCCCGTTGTAAGGGAAGTCTATATTGAAACTCAGGGATACCCAGTTTTGAATTATTCCCACTTTAATACGGTTTGTAATAAATATTCTGAGAAAATGGTTACAGCTAACAGATTCAACGAAATTATAATTCTCCATTTACTCAAATGGCAGCAATAGTGTCTAAGCATGTTCATTAATGTAACTATAAATATTTAATAAGCGTTTATACACGTTTTTCATTCAATACAAAATCCTTGTACATTTAGAAACATAAACCTCATGTTTTAGTTTTATTTTTTTGTTGTTATGTTATTATGTGAGTATCTGAAAAATCGAATCATTTTAAAATAGAGTACCTTGCTCCGCTTTGCTTGCGCGAAATGTAAGGGCAGAGTTACCACAAGCTGCAAAACAATTTATAGTCTACATATCTGAATGTAAGGCGGGATGCATTGAGATTAATATATAATTACGGAAACTAAAATTTCCTTACTGGAGGAAAAGCATAAGGAGGTATATTCTCTAATTAGGCCTAATATGTCTGGGGATTACAGCTTTAAAAATGTCAGCGTTATATGCATTTAAGCACCGCGCAATTAAAATCGCCAACATAACTTGCATAGTAATGATGTGCTTTGCTGCGTACGAGTTACATGCGTTGTGCGGCATTGCCGTTTATATTGTTGGGCGCGTTTTTTCCCTCCAAGGTGCTCGTGAGAACATTGAGTTTGAGAACTAGGTGAAATTGTAAAACATGGGCGCAATGCCCTATAAAAATAATTGTTACCAAAAATAAACTCATCAAATACTCCGGAATAGTACTCCGTTGAGAAAGCAGAATTTTAGCTAGATTTCTTTAGCTGAGTTTTGTTCTTGGAAACCGAAGATTTCCTATAGTTTAATAATATTTTTTGTTCATTAAATTGATTGGTTTTTCACCAGTGAGGCATATAAAGAAATGGAATTAGTTTTTTTGTATACCTTTGTATTATACAAATGATTGGAGTTTAACGATTGGTCACGATGTAGAAACTATGTAGAAAGGTAAAATTAGATTGGCATTTGAACTTCTTGGGACCGTCCAGAATACCTACTGACAATTTATATAAACATCTTAAAGATAATTAAGTAAACAAATTTAAGCCAACATCTTTAAATAATAGTGATGCTCATGAAATTCTAAAGGAATGCATCAGTCACAAAATATGTTCAGTATCCAATACCACAGTTTAATGAAAGTAAGTACTTCAGGTGTAAACAATAGTAAATTATCCACAGACTCCGAAACTAGATCCTCTAAATAAAAAAAGTGGAAAGTAAAGGGTTGTGTGTTCTATGTCAAAAGAGTTTCCCAGTGTACCTTATAGCTATGTTATACTACACTTGGAGAAACGTAGTCTGTATACAGCTTTTTAACTTTTCTTAATCCCTTGTCTTTTGGGTGAAAAACTGAAATATTTGTGTGTGCATTACAAAAGAAGGTGCATTGCTCCTCAGACACATAACATTGTTCTGTAAAAAGTAATTCATAAAAAGTTAAATTAGTTAACGGTTTATAACCTCTTTTACTACACAGTTTATATATACATTTAGCTTTTCACAAAAGATCCTCCGATTAATATTAGTGCATTTAAATTCCTCACAGAAGTGGAGAGATTCCTTTGACTCCTCCGTTCTGTAATTTATGATAAGTGATCATTTGATAGCTTTGTGAATCCAAGTCTTTGTGTGCTCAGAGATAGCAATTCATTCAGATTAGGGAGATGCCTTTACAAGAAGAAGAAGAGAAGCAGTGTTGTCTTAAGGCAAGAGGAAAGAGGTCCTAGTGGTAATGCTATCTTCCATCTTGGAGAGAGAAGGAGAGAGAGACACAATCTTCATCTCGTCAGCCTAACATCAACAGATCCGACACTTGGCCCTTCCTCTGAGTTTGCTCCTTTGAAATGACATAAACGCTCCACTTTAGCAGAGTGCAAAGGAAGATTGTCCGATAACCTCTGGGAAGCCGTGTACACCTTCCTATATACTCCTGATGTGCTTACTGCTGCTCATCTGGCTGCATGCAGCAAACGCTAGAAGCTTCTGGAAGCTGCCTTCAGAATCTAACCACACTCAATGGGAGAAGTTTTAAATGCCACTTCTGCTGCTGTCTCGGGCCAGTGAAACAAGTTGTGCTGCAGTGCTGAGCTCTGCTCCCCAGGGTTTTTAAAGTTTGGCAACATCTGTTTAAGTTTATTAGGCAAAAAAAGCTGTAACTCTGGCCACAGAACTTATGGAAAAAATAAACAGTTCATTATTTTAGATCCAGGACAGCAAAAAATTTGATTTGATTTCATCAGAGAAACCTTTGTATTCTTTTTTTTTTTTTTTTTTATCAAGGTAAGACTTTACTTGAGGGGGCACATATAATGTAGTATTACAGTCTTACTTAGTGTATTAATTAACCAGAAAGTGTTAGTAATGTACTGATCCCAGTTTATTCATCATTAATCAGTCATAATGGTTCATGTATTCCATGCAGTAACTATGTTTGTTCATGATTTGTTCTTGAGTAGTAACTGAATTACTAAGTTACTTTTGCCCCCCGCCCCCCAAGGAAAGCGTTAACTTTATCAGTTACTATGGTTGCTGCTGTCATTAATAGCAATATCTTATAATCGATAATTAACAGTCAGTCTATATATAGAGTAATACTTCTCATAATTACAATATTCATAATTTTCCAGTAGTCTTACTCAATCACTTTTTACAAGGGGTGAGGGAGTCATTTTTAATTATCTTCTGCCCTTTACAACAAAATTCTTACAAGATGTACTGTGTAATGTATATAATATAAGTGACTGATGCTTGTTTTCACTGCGTCTGCACACAGTCCAGCAGAATCATGCAACACACAGGTCAGAATGAAAAAATCACTTTTATTGAATGGATGTAAACGAGCTGGTCAGCACTAACTATTCTGACACACAAAACCACATGGCCTGAAATTTTTACTTACCTTTCATTCTACACAACCAACAAGACACTGGTTAACGGCAACAGTATATTACATGCCCATGTTAGATTTTATTTTAAAACCGTTTTAATAGTACAACCCAAAACATGCCACACACGTTTATGAAAAGTGTACAGTACAAGAAGCACAACCAATAATCTAAAAAGACGTAGGGGAGAAGGACTTCATCATCGTTGCAGCACAATACACCCAAAGACCACTCTTAGATATGACATTGGTACTGTACTTCATATCAGCATGACCATGGCTGATACCAGTAAACAGGATGCAAAACATAAGCCTAGTTTCATTATGGAAATTAGCAGTAACGTGCCAACTGAATATATACATTACCGTCAGCAATCAAAAAACAAAAACAAAGCCATTATTTTACAGCAAAACTCACACGTTTCCCAAAAAATATCAATCATAATACATTAAATGATAATAAATATTGAAAATAACAGACACAGAATCCACAACTTAAGAAATAAAGTCAGAATTATAAAAAAAGAGAAATTTTCCATTTGTCACAGTGTTAATATAATCCACAGATATGCAATCTGAGTTAACAAAGAAAACAATTCTGAACCTCACACATGAAAAGACAAAATGCAAACATAACCTAAGCTCAATAGATAATTCATGAGTCAACAATTCAAACCCACCAACTTGTTGGTCATTCAGCATGAAAGCGTTTCTGCCCCCATAACAATGCATAAAATTGGCACTTCACATAAATAGTCATTTCCATCTGCACATTGCTTTGTATTTTTATTTATATATATATATATATATATATATATATATATATATGACTTAGCTTTTTGTGGTAGGTAGACCCTACTTCAAGTATTCAGAAATAATGTTTAAGAAGAAACTATTAACCTAGGACTCAAAAGCCCTCCTCCTAAAACAAAATTAAAGAGTATGAACTTAAGCTCCTTAGACAAAATTGTCTACTTTTTAATTTATAACCCTTTATATCCTGCCTGTGAATTCAGTTTCAAGTTACAATTGTGGATAATTGACAAAACTAAACTAGAACAATTCAGGCTAATTCCCCACTGCCTCCGTCCTGTTCATTGCACACTTTTGATAGATCCAACAAGACTTTCATATTAAATGAAGCAGTTATCACTGCCACATCCACAGGTAATAGCCATTTTGGCCTTGTATGGTATAACTTCCATTATTATACATTCAATTATACATTGGATTTACCGCCATTACTGCATAGATTTTGAATAATGTCCAGAAGGGTGTGAAAAGCAGACATTGCATTGACTATGGAGCTTTCATCATCCACCCAAAAATGCTGATGTTACTCACGAGTGCAATTGCTGTCCGCTGTGGTGAAGAAACCTTCCCCCCCCCCCCCCAGTTATTCAAAAGTTTAACTGAGATTTACTGTTAAAAACAAAAATAAACTAATCTCAGACGGCCGAGTGGTCCTTGTCAGTCTTCAATAATGACAGGTGGCAGTCTTCGTGGTGTTACGGCTGTGTCTGACCACTGCACACCGGCCGTGTAAACACAACGACCTCACTTAGGCCAATTACGTACCCTGGATGCTCAAATCAGAAGGATTCTAAGACACAGCTAGTTTTTGGAAATAAAAACCTAAAATATCACCGATCCAACAGATATTTCAGATCACTAGATGCAAAATACTTATACAAGATTTTGGAAAGGATTCTAGCGGTATTTTTTCAGCCATAACCTTCCTTGTCTGTCCTTTGCACTGGGGAAGTACAAAAATGCTTCAGTCTTGCCTCACAATGTCAATGCATTCATCCATTCATTCATGCTTTTACCGAACAGGCTACACATTCTCTGTTCTCCAGTGGATGCAATAAACAGCACTTTCTTTTATAATTTATTTACTTTGTCTCTTGAGGAAGTTTGAAAAACAAAATAGAAATTGAATTCTTTTTTTTGTACATATACATCATATATATCAGACAAAATACAGACACGCAGATATACTTAATAGGCACCTGCCATCTTGTTCAGAGGGACAATTGGAGTCACTAAAACAGATCTGCTCAGTTTGGATTGGCTTGGCATTCTGAAACTAGCAGACATTTGTCGTATCCTGACCAGAGTCTATTCGAGCGTGAAGCCCAAAGGAAAATATTAAAAGAGGCATCACACAGACTAAACAGTCCCCTTTATGCATTTTGTTTGATCTGTAGCACTTTACGGACACTGGCATCTGAACCCAGAACAGCATGGACACTATTTTCTTTTGTCTTGGCCCATGTGTGCTGCAGCAAATCGTCATTTGTGTTTCATGTCAGACTGAGGGGAGATTACTGTATTTTTCACAAATCCTGCATGCGATGGCTTATAAATTATCCTTTGTTTCCCAGACACTTCATCGAACCAAGTGGCATCAGCACCATCACAGAGGAACAATGAAATGACCTAAGGAACCATGAAGTGTCTTAGCAGCTGAGGAGAGAATGTTCTGATTGTCATTTATGCAGAAATATATTGTGGCTACAGCATCATAGGGGCTTGGTTTGGGGGAAAACATCTGAAAAGCTATATGTGTATAAAAACTAAAGGTTAAATGGCATTAACCTCAAAGTCTGCATAGACTGGATCGGAAACCACTTCATACTCTGGACGTGGGTGAGGTACCACGAGGGGCGATTCCCATTAAGGCATTCCACACGCTACAGGGACTGGAGCTGGAATTGTGGAGGTCCCCTGTTTGGTGAAAACCATGGCCTTCCATTAGCCTCATGTGCGTTTTCCTCACCGCAGTGTATTGCTGAAGGTTTACTAGCAGAAGTTGAGGGAGCCGTACCCCTCCTGAGGTAAGCTGATTACAGGTAGTAAAGCCAAATGCAAACACAAACCAATCCAAAACAGAGTGTATGGCACTTTCTGAGGGAGGCTAGTGTAAGTGTTCACGTGTGAATAGGGGGTGTGGGGGGGGCAGTGCCTCCTCCGGTGTTACCAGAAGAGCGAGAATGTGGTTGTTTTGATGTTCTGGTCCAAGTACAGGGCTGTCAGCAATCTCCCTTCAGGCTCCAGATGACCTGATACCGGACCTACAAAGCGGCTGTCTGAGATGATCTGCCAGAGGACGTCTTCACGGAGAGGCGTGACCCTCCTGCGCTCCTCCTCCTCTCCTGGCTGTGGAAAGACACACACAAACAGGTTAATACTGGACAGCGTGATGTGTCTTAGTACCACAGTAAACATCCTGATGCATCCCTAGTTCGTGAGGAAAGCTGCTCACGGGATAATTTCAAAACTAAGCTATTCTGCTACAGCCAATCAGGCTGGATTCAGACACATGCTTACAACAGCATTAACCTTTTGATATCATATTGACATAACAGTGACAAATCCCTTCTGGAGTTAACAGAACGACAGAAGGATTTGGCGGCAGTGGAGTGTATCGACCGGGTGCTCCCCCCTGTTTGAGCAGTGCAAATGCCATCTCACTATCACTGACCTCCTGCCACTGAACCCACCAAAGCTACCTTCTGCATGGCAAAGCCACGTGCCAAAGGTTCCTTCATTAGACAGCAGACTACGGAAACTGCTGCCACGGCAGGCAGATGAGGGAAACTCCATCCCTGGTTAGTAACAGCAGTAAAAATTTATGCTGCTCTTGACATCTGGGTTAGAGTGGATTATGGTCCATGTGCTCGGCAAATGTTCAAAGGCTGAGCCAGAGGTACCAAAACAGATGCCCAGTTAAGAAAGGGACCAGAAATGCCCTTTGCTAACCTGTCACACATGGCACCTGCATTTCACATGGGCTAATTAGCCAAATCAGTGGAGAAAAGACAGACAAAACAGACTTTTTATCACTAGGAAATGTGTTTCCAGCTTGGTTTCAGGATTGAGTTTGAAAATCTCAGCAGGCCTCAGACCGATCCATACCTTCCATAACAATGTGTTCAAACTGTCATCTGCTAAAAAACCTACCTAATTCTCCAATGCGTTTTCCCCGGAGGTTAGGTTATTGCTACTGAGATCAAAGTTGGACCCTGACGTGCTTAATTATTTCATTTTGCCGATGCGATAAAATTACAGCACTGGGTAATAATATCACTTGAGACACGCTAGTCAGCGGCCTTCAGCTGCTCCCATAGAGCTTGGTTTTAATGGACACCAGGGTGCAAAGGTGCTCTGCTTCCAGAAAAATGTCTTAGAGTCACATTTATTTATTGTATATTCTTCAGCAAGAACCAAAACAAAGAACTGTTCCAAAAGGCAATTACAGTATATTGGCTCTACCATCACACTTCCAAATCACTCTTAACTGCATACAAAGCTTTAACGAGACAACAGGGTTTTTAATGATTATAATACATAGATTTCCCCTATGAAAGAGAAGGTATTGGTATATACCCAAAACAGACTTTCATTGATTAAAAAGCATATATACATATATTGCAGGCCAAAATCAGTGGACACTGATAATAATGTACCTGTATATCACATTAATGCAAAAATGCAATGGCCATTTGTACTGAACTCTGTCAGATGTGTTTGTTTAAAGTAGGGGAGGCAACCAAGTGCACAGCTGTAGGATAAAAGATATTCTACCCTGGGGAACTTCATTTATGGACTGAAGTAATGACCAACATTAAAATTCATCTGTATTTGCTAACTACAGACATGACACGCCAGTATGGGTAATTTCTGAGGGAAAACACAAGATAAAATTATGAAACTGATTAAATGAAACCTTTCAACATCATACTGTTGAAGCAATTTTATAAGTTTATAATAATGCTTTTTTATTACAAAAGTGTGCAAGCCACGTCACTTTACATAAAAACTGCAAGACATGGTCATGAGTTGGTTCATTGGTTAAATTATGTGCTCCCAGTACTTTAAGAAGATAGATGTTGTTCACTTCAGTGAGGTTAAAGTTTATAACTGAAATGAATGCTTGGTGAAATCTGGCATTTAGCGCATCAACAGCCTGGGAAAGATCTTGGTGCCTTTCCTGCCCCTTCACATCCTTAGCGGAACAAAGTGAATGTCATTGTGTACATTCTGAAAAAAATTTACATGCATTCAAAGAGCTGAATGCATTTGACCCTTGAACATTTGCATTTGAGCCAAATTCAGTTTTGAAATTGAATATGTATAGTCTTTCAAAACTAGCTCATCATTTACAAATACAAATTCAGTTAAGTTTGGCACTAATCTCCCGCTACACCCCTTGGTCATAGATTTCACAACAACAACTTGTTGATAGTTTCAAGTCATAGTAACTGCAAAATGACAGAAGGGAAGAAGAATACATTTCTTGTGTTTTGCCTGGAGGTCATTCACAATTCAATGGGGATGTTTCCACATCCATATACCTTTTAAGATCTGCAATAGGGGCAATCAGTTATGGATGAAAATAATAAACACACCAAAAACTAAAGCGTGTCTTCTTGTGGTTGAATTTTTTTCTAGAATATCTACTGTCTGAGCTCTAATACATGAATTTGCAATGAAGAAATAATTATTGTCAAAACCATGAAGAACAAACCAAGAGTACTCCAGAGTACTCCAAAATACTCCAGAATAAAGAAAGAATAAGAAGCCGCTCTAAGTTTCTTACTATAAAATATCTGTGAGTTGACCAGGGCTATACAGTACCATGTTGACTAACAAAGTTTATATGTCCTTGAGCCACATAAAGTCGGTATTTCTTGTTGTTATGACAGCTTTTGACAGTGTTTCAGGAGTAAAGGAATAAATTTCAGCTCTACCGAAACTAATATTTCTAGAACATTCTTTCAAAAGAGGAGAAGAGATTAAATAATAAGGCTGGAAGCCACTTTTTTGATGAGCAGACATGGAATTCTCTTTATTTTACGATAGGATTTAAATTACAGGTCTTGATAGAGGATCAAGGGTGAGAGATCTCTGTATTTTAATAATACTCTGAGTGTGTCTGCCAGCCACCTGGACTGTGATACCTACAGTAACCTATTCTCACTGTTGTGTGTGGAGGGAGACATTCTTAATCTGTGTTTACTTTTTACATCTGACGTGTAACCTTCTCCCATTTCAGTTATGCCTCTACTGCATTGTAACAAGATAACAATGATTTCTTTTAAAGCAAAGCGCAGCTATCCATCGACTTATGTCCAGGTTTCGCTATGGAAGTGCGAACAAAAGTCAATCTGGATGTATCTCAGTCATTATAAGGGACAGGGCAAGTATACTGTATTGCATAAGATACAATATCACACACATTTAAGTAAACCTCTATACTGGCAGCACAGTCAGTTTATTTTGGTGCTTACCGCATGCTGTTCGCATGGTAAAATATGTCTGCTAACGGCTGCTATGTCTGCTTCGGACATCTCTCAATAAATTTTATCAAGGCTCTTTTGGGACGTAAGTATGATTGGATGTTACTCGATAGTCCTCGGATGACTGTACTGAAATAGACCTCTACAGCTATGCAGTCTCTGGGCGTATTTTATTCAGTTATGGTAAGTCCGCTGGTATCTACTGGCACTGCAGGTATCTGTCCTAGCCTTCGGTGTCACTGCGATTGTATTGGTGAGGGAAATACCACTGGGGTTTGTGACGACAGCAACCATTCATATACATATAACTAATGCTTCAAGTTGGAATATTTTAAATTGGCTTTTGTTGTTTGAGACGTCTGAGCTACATTCAGTCCAAAGAAGCAATCAGAAGATGCCACTATGGGTCCCAAAATGCAAACTGACCCGGAAACAAAGAAAACAGAGAAGAAGACTGGAAAATAAACTGACCTAGTTTATGAGGCAACATAAATCACTGTGTAAACAGGAAGACAGTGGTGGATCCCTTCACGGGGACGATTCAGTAACAAAGAGCTCAAACATCTGCACATTGTCCGTGTCACGTCTGCAATTAAATGCTATGATTCTTATTAGGAAGTGGTTATGCTCTGTTTGCTTGGTCTGGATGGGCAGTTTGCGGCATTCAAAAGACCCCTGCTGTTGGAACTAGTGGCCATATACGAGGCCGGGAGCAGCCGGATCAGAGTGGGTAGCAGAGCTAGTGAGTTCTCAAGCAAAGGACCCATCGGGCTGCCCCAGGCTCTGCCTGATGCCTCCCAGTCACCTGACCAAGTTAAAGTAATACTTGGGCACAGTGGCGATGCAAAGCACCGAGACCCCGACGGGCTTGCTGTGCTGGGGAAAGCTGCAGGAAGGCTACCTCCTGACACAAACGTAAACGCTGCTTCGAGGCACTTCGAGAACACCAGTGTGGATCCTCTGCATATGAAATCTTGTGCTTGGATGTCGGGTATTGAATAACTACAAAATGTGCACTGTGCTTAAGTAAAGCAGCATGTTCATTTTTTTTCTTCTTTACATTTAAGTGGTCCTAATGTAAACTGCTTGTAAATAGAATCCTTGCAGACATTTGGGACCACCAATGTGTTTTCTGTTGATCTAAGCTCTTTCACTACCAATTATAATGTAACTGTTGTCATTCCCCCTTTTTAAAAATAAGTCAATTCTGATGCCAGTACAAAGTTTCCTCTATTCTACTTAGTAGGAAAAACAAAAGCTGTTTCACTGGATGGAGCATAAACGTACTACAAAATGCTCATGGAGTGAGGAAAGAGGCCACAGATGATTCCAGTTACACAGAAAAAAAGTCTAAAATCTCAGAATATAATCAGACGCTGATTAAAAGAAACATTTTTCTCCCTAAAACATAGTCATTCTAGAACTAATGACTGATACATTACTGGACTTATTTCAGGATATGATAGGTATAGATAACCAAAATATTAATTGAACACACTGTTCTGATTTAAAATGTGACCGAAGTAGTGCCACACTGCTATTCTAAAAAGACCATTATTTTTTCCCACTAATCATAGACATTCTCCCTGTACCTGACAAAATGTAATTTCCCTTATTGCAAGATAAACACAAACTTGCTCCCACACAAACACACAATGTCATGCTACAGTCAATGCAAAGCCATGTATTTATTACATTGCGTTGCTTATTACATTGGTCACCACGCTTCCATTGTGCTGGAAGTTGGAGCGTATCCCCTAAACTCCACCTCTCCCCCCGAAACACCCCCGGAGTATTTGCAGCATGTCGGGGTCACTGGCATTGCCGCCTCGCATTCCTGCTAATTAGCGTGTTTAC